TTTCAGCTTATTTAGTGTAGAAAACTTGTGTGACAAATGCTTTCTATCTATGCTCTTAAATGATATTTTTAGAACTATTTCTCTTATGATCTCATTTTTATTCCACATACTTCTTGTACACCCCTAGTTGTTTGTCCACATAGAGGTTTGACTATAATAACGTCGTTTATTCAAATATTTTTTTTGCTGCTATAGCAAACATGTAATGTAACATAATAGGTTTCAGAAAAATACTCGACCATTATAACGAAATATTGTTAGAGAGATATAGAAAGGTCTTACTCTATCATTGAAGTCAACAATTCATGCATAACCATCCCTCATGTGTTTATTCATTGTATATGTCAAGTCTTGTTTTATGGTTCATTTTTCGGATGGTCATTCAACGAATAGTTATTATTTCAGAAAGTTGCTTTGTTTGTCGAGGAAAAAATAGAATAAAAAGAAATACTACTTTTTGAGATAATAACTACTCTCTCTCTCTCCAATTTATATGACATGTTTTTTTTTTACTCCGTCCGAAAAGATTATCACATTTCTATAATTGAAAACTATTGTGACTTAAAAATTCTTTCCTTATCCTTAATAAAATGATTTATAGCCACTGAAATGGTAGAGTGTTTTGGATTACAAATTTCAAAATTCTTGTTTTTTCTTGAACTTCATATTAAGTTAAATGGTATCACATAAATTGATACAAAGAAAGTATTAGATTAGCGATGATCTACGTAATATTTGACCTCAAATTCATTGAAACTTAGGAATTTCGCATAAATACCCAATTATGGGACCATCATCTTATGTTCACATTTTTGGAACAATTTTAAATATGCAAGTTATAAAATTTCATATAGTTGAAGTTCAATCATATTTGTCTGATCTTCATACATTACAGACATTGTATGTGTAAAATTGTTTCGAAGTAGAAAAATGTGGATAAATTTTGAGAAACCCAAATACAAAGTAAATAGATGTCCAAATAAAATACTCGTAAATTTTTTGAATAAAATAAAATAAATAAATAAAGGCCAAAAATGTTAGAGGCCCATGAAGATATGTGGATAAAGAGTGGATCCCACGATATTTGGTCAGCGGTCCATGGGCTAGGTGGCCCACTAACGAATTATAAGCAAATTGACACTACGTAATGGGCATCTTGTGATTGTGTATACCATGTTTTTTCTCGAGATAATTATGTGTCTGAATCATTTGATCATCTAATTTTACAAAATATTTTGAAATTATATATACTTCATACTAAATCAACATATATTATACACAACATGTATATATTTAATGGTGTATATATATTGTGTGTTGTTTGACAATTAAACTAGTTGATCGAATGGTATATATCAGTAACATTACCTTTCTTTATGTCGTTTTATGTCAATTTTTGTAAAGGGAAAATAAAGTTTAGAAATTCCCTAAAATGTGTGGTCAAATATATATTCTTATCCTTATTTCGTGGCTCCAAAAGGAAAACAGGGAAATTTTTCAGAATGTCAATATTTTAACATTTAATAGGATTCATTGTCAATACTTTCAATATTTAGTAAAAATGTCAAAATTTTAGTTTATTACGTATCTTATTTAAGTTTTTATTATTTGTTTTAATTTAAAGAATACAATTGTTAAATAACACAAAGGAGAAATTTAGGGGAGAAATTTTTTTTAAAAAGGAACAATTGCTTAAAAGTCTGTTAGTTACAAAAATTCAAAACTAAATACAAATTCAAATTTTTTTTACAGAGAACTCATCCCACTTGTTCATCAAATTTCTAGTATTGATTTTTAAATTTTCATTGATAATACTCAATTTATGTTGAAATGAATTCAATTAAATCACGTTTTTTTTATATCCAACCACGGCTTCAATGGATCAGATTTTAGAGCCAAAACCGACTTTCGTAATGATCTAACTCCTCTAAAATTATGTGAAATTTCAAAAGCTATTTAAGGATAAAGAAAGATCCAAGAAAAATTATGCAATTAAGGCATATTAAAACTCAGAAATCATAAAAGCTTAGTGGAATCACACAAACTCAACAAGAAGTATAGAATCACTAAGCACAAACATGTATTTCGAAATTCATGAGATAATAATAACCAATCAAATCTTTTTAGACTAAGATCTTACTAACTAGAGAATATATACGCTTACATAATAATAATTGGAAAAAAATCACAAAACATAGTATAAAAAAGTTTCACAATCAAAGCTTGCAGATTGTGATCCTAATAACGTGCATATTTCTTTTTGGATGACGAGACAACGTTTTACTAATGCACAAGTGAATACGGAATCAAGTTTGGATTTTGTGAACAAGAAATTGAAAAAAAGAAATATATCAAACGAAGAAGAAGAAGAAAAGAGAGAATCGGAGAAGAAGGTTGCAAAGAAAGAGAGAATGGAGAAGAAGGTTACCAAATTGTATTCATATTAATTTTTGTTTGTCAATTGTTTTTCTTTTACTTCAACATTTTATATTTTTTATTAAGAACATTTGTATTTTTTTTAGTTTGTAGTCATTCCAGTAGGTATGTCAAATTGATTTGTATTTCTTAAACATAGATGCATCCTATTTCTTTCACAGTCAATTTGTATTTTTTTTAGAATATTGTATCATTCCTCAACAGATTGTATTATTTTCATTATGTATGCTATTCTTTTTCCAGAATCTTGTATCTTTCTTTAATCGTATTAATATGTAATGATTAGATTATATTGTGATACAATGAGTAATATTTTTGTAATACGAATAAAAGAAAAATATATTTGGTAGTTAATTAATACAATTTTGATCACTGGGATACAATTTTTAGTTTTCACTATGAAAGTAAAATACCAATTTTAATTTGAATGGTAAAGTGAGCACATAAAATACAAAAGTTGTTGATATACAATTATGATTAAAACATAATAAAAAGAAATACAGACTTGTTGTCATTGAAATACGAAATGAGCACAATAAATACTCACATCAATTGAATACAAAATTGACTTTGTTGGTATGTCATTGTGATGAACACAAAAAAAATACATACTTTTCTAAATACAATGTGAGCGTTAAATACAAAATGATCACAGTAAAATACGCATCACAATTTGATATTCAATTTTAATTTGAATGGTAAAGTGAGCACATAAAATATAAAAGTTGTTGGTATACAATTATGATGAAAACATAATAAAAAACAAATTCAGACTTGTTGTCATTAAAAATTGAGATTGAAATACAAAATGAGCACAATAAATACTCACTTCAATTGAAATACAAATGTGACTTTTGTTGGTATACCATTATGATGAATACAAAATAAAAAAAAAAGTAGAATTTGTTTGTATATAAAGTGATATTGAAATACAAAATAAGCAAATTAAAATACAAAATTGTCGTCATTTTTGTTCTAAGTAGAAAATTGTGATATTGAAAAATAGAAAATTGTTGATTAAGTTGGATACCTCTAGTAATTCTCTTAGATTCTACCATTGGAGAGTGATTTAGAGTTTATCAAACCCTAAACGTGATTTCGACTACATACAACAATTTTGAACGATTTAAACAAAAATAAAATCATAAAACAAATCTTAAAAAACGGATAAGGATGCATACCTTAATAAAAGGGATTGTGTGAATATCTTTATAAAATATATTTTTCAATTTCTGGAAAAATAAAAACAAAAAAGAAGGAAGAGAGAGAGGCGTGTTTTGAAATGGAGAAGAATTGGAAGATGAAAATATGTTGCAAAAAATAGAAGATGAAGATGAAAATATGAGAGAGAAAATATTCCCTTTATTTTAAACATATGATAGAGGATTAAATGGAAAATGTGTAATTAAGGTGAAATAAAATAGGAAGTAAATTAGGATACACAATTTTTTTTAAAATAATGACATTTTGACATTTTTACTAATATTTATAAAGTAGGGAGGTTTTTACTAATTAAGTTAGGTTTTTTGACTAGTTTGCTAATTTTCCTTTTTATTTATTTCCTTTTCAATTATTAAAATATATTTTAAATCATAAAGTGCATAAAAGATACTAACTTCTATATTTTTATTTATTATTTTATATTCAAAAAATCGTGAAAGGATATGTTGAAAATCTTAGTCGGAGAAGTGAAAATAACTATACTGAAATAATAGTTGGGTCTTAGTCGCAAACAAGTTAAAATCGGATATATAAATTCTTATTGATCATGTATCACCATTTAAATTTATCTCGAGCCACTATTATACTAAATAAAAACATTCTAAGCAGCTGCTATATAATTTTAAACCTTGTTTCTAATAAACAAGGAAATATTTCTAACTCTCAAATACTATAATATATTTGGGGGAAAAGAAGATAGATGAATACTATAGGGCATTAATATAGTTCCTCTAAGGACTTAAAATCAAGCGCGTGTTATTAATCATCAGAAGGTACGATGGAGTGAATAAATTCCTTCACTCTTAATCAGATGTCTCAAATTTAAACTCTGAATATAGAGAAAACGAATTCTGATATCAAATAAAAGAATATTATAGGACCATAAGGTGGGGGTGACAAATCAAATCAGTTGACAAATGACAGGGAAATTCATTGAATGTATGACATATTTTTGAATGAAAGCAAATAAAATATTATATTGCTAAGTTTCAACATCAGAATATGGACCAGAATTTATTGTTTTTTTCTTCCCTTTTTTGGAGAGGTTTTGAAGTTTAATCCTTAGAGAATTGCTTAACAATAATAGTAAAAAAAATTCCTTGGATATAACACTACTGACCTATCACATGATGAAAGTACAAAAGAATAGTAAACGGAGAATACAATATAAAGATTCTAAATATGAGAAGTTGCCCTCAGCACCCCCTCGTAGCTTCACGAGTTCATGAGCAAGTGAATTCAAAGCCCTAGTATATAGGTAGGGCGCTAACGCTTTACTAATACTTATAATAAAAAACCAGGCTCTTCTGTTCGAGCGAAGAGCCTGATTTTGGCACATAAAATTAGAGAATAAGCATAAAATTTGAAAGCACAGATAAAAGAGAAGAAGCTGTAGCAGTGCATTATACAAAAAGCTGACAGCTCAAAAAAAGGTTCTTCTCCACTTGGAAAAATTTACATTTTTTTTTTTCTAATGGAAGTTTGTTTTCCCATAGCACAGAAATCAATCTAACTTGTTTGTTTTCCCCCCATAATATTTCAAAAGCAACAACAGATAATGAATTACAACAGGGCCAGAAGATGTTGTTAACAAGCATTATGATGAACAGCACCAACCTTTTTTCGCTTGTGTCTCTGTTTCTTGGTTTTCGTCTGCCTGCAAAACCACAGTTTTACCATTTGCCAGACGCCCGGAATCCTTTTTTTGAAGTTCTTGCGATTGCATGACTTTCCGGCTCAAGATATTATAGATCTCTTTAACAACTGTTTGAAAAGCTACAGCTACATTTGAAGAATCCAAAGCTGATGTTTCTATAAAGAATAGACCTTGTGCCTCTGCTAAGGATTTGCCTTCAGCTGTTGTCACCTCCCTCGCATCTTTGAGATCGGATTTATTTCCAACGAGTATCGTGACCACGTTCATGTCAGAATGCGCTGTCCACACAAATAAAGAAGATCAGCAAAATAAACAAACTGCACAACATATCGACATGGAAATAACTCAAATAAAACTTACTCTGAAGTTCATTAAGCCATCGACCAATATTTTCAAAAGTTAGCCGTCTACTAATATCATAAACCAGAAGAGCTCCAACTGCACCTCTGTAATATGCAGAAGTTACTGCCCTAAACCGTTCTTGGCCTGCTGTGTCCCATATCTGCGCTTTGACCTCCTTCCCATTTATGTCCAGCTTTTGGGTCTGGAACTCTACTCCTATTGTTGATTTTGAGTTGGGATAGAATTCATCACGAGCAAATCTAGCAAGCAAATTTGATTTCCCAACAGCTGAATCACCAATCAAAACAATCTTGAAAAGGTAATCCTCCGTTTGTGCTTCCTCAGAACGAAACGCCATCTTCTATGTGTAAAATGGCAAAGCTAGAACATCATATTTGCTTATTTTGTAGCTAAACACCAGAAACAAGAAATTTAAAGCACAAATAGGCAGAAGGCCCTCAAGGAAACTTGCAAGGCAATACAAGCATATGTAAGACAAAACACTTCCGCTTAGGAATTGGTTTAAGAAGAGAAGAAAGACAAGGTAATTTAGAATAAGGATTTTCTATTAACCCTGTACTAAACTTCTTCCAGCCGCTGCACCACTGGGTAACTCTTTCCTATTTTATTCAGCCCTCTAACGGACAGCTTATAAATACGTACCTGCATAAGAAGAAAAAAGATAGAAACTTGAAACATCAGCAAAGCATCCACAGTCTACACTTAGCTTTCCCATAAAACAATGTGTCATTCTTCTGCAAGATTCTTCAATAGGATATAGTCTAATTAGCATAGGTAAGGGAAAGGAAATTATACAAGACTAATCAGCTGTTGCTCATCTAGTGCCCCGTCCTTGCCACGTCCCACTTCCCTTGCTTCTTTTGCAGACCTTTTAAATGCAAACCTAAAAGAAAAATGAAGGGGAAGTACTACTATAAGACTTTACACAAAATTGTGCTTGCAGAATATTCATTTCTGGATGTTGACATAAAATAAGAAACCAAAAATTGTTATCTCCAAAATATTCCATTAATTCAAAACCAAGTCACACCATCTGCATTGACTTTTTCTTCTTTTCTCTTTTCCCGCTTCTTAAGGATAAGGGGGTCTGAATGAAGAGGGGAAAGGGTGGAATTTGAGAGAGAGATGGGATATAATTCTCAAGGAAATAGTAATATGTGTGGACTACAAACAATGACCATTAATAAAAAAAAACAATCACCATTAAACAGTGATGCTCAAAAAGTTTGCTAACTGTCAGAAACCATTGATAGATATAGTTTACATGAGAAAGATACATATAACAGAAAGGGAAGTGTCAACAGAAGAAGATTAATATTTCCTCTTGCTCTCCAGCTGTAGGGAAGGGGAGGAGCCAAGGAGGCTGCCTCTCAAAAACGGAAATGAATACTTGAAACGGGAAGCTAAGTGTGTAGCATTCAATAGAAAGGGATAAAACTGCACACCAAATTGATAAAGTTATCATGCAGTAAGGACTTTTAACAACATACAGGGCATACAAGATCTGATGACACCAGAAGAACATATAATGCCCATAGGTTGAAGCAAACAAATTATTCCAATTTCACTGATATAGTTAAAACATCGTCTATGAAAAATCAAGAATATTTGCCTAAACATTTGTAATATAACAAAATATTGACCAGTGGAAATATCCGTTAAGCCAGATTTAATCCCTACAATGTACTTAATGATGACACCTGTACCTTGAAAAAACGACTTGCCCAGTTCACAAAGTGCTCTCTCGCTAGTCTTGCAAGAAGTCTAAGATCTAACTTTGACCTATAATTAATACTTAACATTCAAGTGCAGTATTGCACTGTGTTATTAGTTTTTGACAAGTATTGTACAGTGATATTGTAGTTTTTCTTTTCCTCACGCCTGAAAATTAGAACCTGGTCACTAGATGTTGATTGCCCTAGTTTAGATTCTATGATGGATACAACTTTTTCAAGTCAATAAAATATACAAATACAACCTTCAGAAATAGCAAACAGATAGTATAAAAAGCCTTATTCAAGGTAGCTGCATACACCTCATCCACAAAATACACTATCAGAAAACCCCAACATTGATGAATACGAAACAATCACTATCGACATATAAATTACGTTGACAAAGAAAGGAAATTGATCCAAGGGAAAGTAGGCATTCTACAATGCTTTGCATTCTATTGACTTCACTCAATAAAGGCTATAAATTTGACGGACATTCTGGTGACCTGAAGGCAAAAATCAATTTACGAGATGGATCACAAAGACCATGTAGTTTTTTAATCCAAGTCAACTTGTGTGCAACTTGACTAATCTGCCACATACCCTTACCTTCCCGTTATTACAAGTATCAGCTAATTCTATCTACCAAAGCTTAGAGATATGGGAAGAAATCACCTAACATATTTTTTTTTTTGCATAAGTTGGATTTAAACACCGATCTCAACATGGTCCATTCCAATTTTATTAACCAGCTAAACCACACCCTTGATCGCTAGTCACAAAGACTAACTATTAACAGGTGAAACAATTTCCTATACGGGACCCACAGAGTTGATAATTTCAATAATAAGTTGCACTTGCATAGACATCTACAACAAAGTTAATGAGGTCAGATAAACAAAGATTTTTAGCAAGTAGACTTTGAAAATGTCAGGTTAGTATGTAATCCTTTATATTATCATGCCACACATAATGTGTTGGTAAACTTATCCTAACTGATAATAATTGCCCCTTATCTCATAATGGCAATTGGAAAGACTCAACATTGTACATGGACACCACACAATCCCAAAAGTAAACAGTTTTTTATCTGACATCTCAAAACAGTATTTTAGTACCAACATAAACAAATATATCTACCAGACATAATCACAATGAGAAATGACATTATTATTTGACATTTACCCATTAAAGATCGAAAAGACACGTGCTACACTAAGTACAATTACGGATTGTTTGGTAGCTAGTAAAGAAGTAACTTATTCATGTAATATTAACTAGTTTGTTTTGCAATTTAGAAACATGAATAACTAATACATGTATGAATTATGACCGAATTAATGTATTACCTTATATGGATAAATAAAATATGGAATAACTAATACCTACGTAATTCTAACCAGCTACCAAACGACCCCTTAATTTCCACCATTTTCATAATGCTCCCAAATCAACAACAAAAAAAAGTTTCAATCTTTCCTTTTCATGAGATTTTTTACAAGTTCCAGCACAAAAAGGAAATTATTTTCAGTTTTCACCATAACAAGCTTATAAACCAGCATAATGTAACTACAAAAAAATCAATAAAAAGAAACAATTTTGACACATACCCACTTTTTTATATGACGAATGGATCTTCCCCCTTTATCAATCTCTCACGATGTGATCAAATCAGACTCGTTTCTAACCAGATCAATCCAAAAAAAAAGGTTAAAAAGAGTAATTTTGAGAAAAATGTGTTGAAGAAACACAGAAATCAAAGGATTGTTTCGATTTTTTAATGATTTTTGGAGAGATTGGGTGGGTTGAAGATCCAGGGAAGAAAGAGAAGGAGAGAGAGAGAGGGAAGGGGCCAAAAGGGGGAAGAAAACCAAGATTCTACAAACTGAGCAAATTTGGAAGGAACAGATGGTCACATTAAATGGGCTTTTTCTAAATGGGTCGGATATTTTTTAGTTGGCCCAATTTAATATACATGAGTTTTACGGACCACAGTCTTAACCTCCAATCGAGCTATGAACACGAGAAGATATGTGGTTAGGGGGGAGAGGGTCACTAGGCCTGCTTTTTCAATCAATCTTTGCCAGTTCAGTGCCGTGATTGGTGCGAGTTGTAAGGAGTCTTGATCTTGATTCAAGTTGGGGGTCGTTTCATTATCATAATGGGAATGAGTGCACCACAAGACTAGACAAGTTGCTCCCGCTGTGAGATATTTGATATCCACTTTATAATCCAACTAATATAATTTCACGTCATTCTAGTGAAGTTGAGAAGAAACTGATCCAATTCGTAGTTGTTGATGTTTATATTGATCGATCATAGAAGAAGAAGGCATTAATTCACTTGTTTTTTAATTCAGTCAATTTTGATCCGCTCAATTTAATATGTTAGATTGGTTTAGCTAAATATATAATCTAAATTAATTCACGAGAAATCTTATCAAAATATTTGTAATTTCTTTTGTTTGTTAGGTTATATTTTCTCCGTTTTAATTTGTTTGTCTAGTTATGACTCGACACGAAGTTTGAGAAAGTAAAAAAAAATGAATTTTGTGATACATTAAAGATGTACAGAATGTATCAAAATGCTCTTTAATCTTACGATTTTAAACATGTAAAATTAAAATTAAAAAGTTGTAAGAATTGAAATCAACATTATCCATACAACTTAAATAATTTTATGTTAAAGCTACTATAATTTTAACAAATATTAATTTTTATATCTCATAATTCAAAAAGATTAATTTGTTCAATTAAAAGATTTTGAAAGTCGATTTTATTATGTTTCAATTATGAATCCACTTCTGTATATCATTCATAAGACTAATATTCAAAGAAAAATAAATATTCAAAATTTAAATTTTATCGATCGAGTTCGAACTAACGATAACTAAGGTCCGCCTCTAGCAAGACACGAACTAACGATAACTAAGGTCCGCCCCTAGCAAGACACATGCATGTTGCATAGCAAATTAATGTGCCTGCAATACTGGCCGTCTTTCTTACTGCTACATAAATTTAATGACATGAAATTTATATACTGAATTCATTATATTTTTAAAATTATGAACTTATCGATTCAAATTTAATATTTATTAAAATTAACATAAATTGTTGAATAATTACATAAAAATATTTGTGTACTCATAACTCCATGAGGTAATATGTATATAATGGGCTAGATTTTTTGGGCCCTTATGGATGTGGATAATTTGCACAAAAGGGATACATCGATAATATTTCTATATTCAATTTAGATGTCTTGTTAAAGTATTCATAAATCGTGTTGGATTATCATTTTCAAAGCTGGAAACAAGTGAGGAAAAGAAATACAAAATAGATCAGTATGACTTCACGCTATATGCAACGTAATTGTCGAGTTGAATACTCACAAACTATATGTTCTGATCGCGTATTGCAAGAATAAATATGTCATTTATCTTGCTCATAAAATAAAATACGCCTATGTTATTTACGAGATATGAAGAAAAATAAAATGAGAAAAGAAATTACTAAGTAGTACTGTGATGGCATTGGGAACTCCTTAAGCAATTCATCCTTATCTTAACAAAACATGAAAATTATCTTACTTATAATTACGTAATTTCGGAAATAACCTTTCTACCTTCACGAGTTAATTGTAAGATCCGCGTACATTCTATCATCCCAGACCCTACTTTATGAGATTTCATTTGGTATATTATTATTGTCGTTGTTACGCAATCAACAATATTTACCTTATTTTATGATTATTGGCATACCTAAAATTCTTCTAAATCTAAATAACCATAATTTCACTTATACCAATGCCAAATAAAGATGATTACAATATTCAATCAAGAAAGTAACCTAAAATAATAGGTTATTATTTTTCTTTAAAACATAGCATTATAACTTTACTTAATCTTCGACACAAATTTATTAAACAATAAAGTATGAAGATTCTATCCACACTAGTCTAGTTGTTCTAGGGTTATTATATATTTCTTAGGTTATTTTATAGTAAAATACAGTTGTATTGATAGTGCAAGGATTTATACTTATTCGATATATTATTTTAATAGTGATATGTTATTTTTATTTGAATTATTTGAGATATTGAGGTTAAGATAAGGATATTTGTCGTGATAACCTCAATAAATTAGATACGTTAGTATCAAAAGTATAATTGAATAAATTAAAAATATAATATTTTTAATAATTTAAGCTATAAAGGACAAAGTATCAATGTCAAGAATGCCAAAATACACAGTAAACCCCTAAATAAAGGACAAAAGAAATGTCATTTTCTTGACTAATTTTACCTTTTATTATGTAGACAACATAATATGGACCAAAAACCACAAAGAAAAGGAAGAAATAATTATTAAAAAAAAGCATGAATACCAATTGGTTAGATATAGATATTTTGAACATATGCCAATAGTTATGTTCTTCATGATGTTTTTTTTTAAATAAATAAATCTTTTTGAAGGTAACAACCACCCACCTAACAAAAAAAAACATTTTCATACAAGAATTAATTAAAAGGAACTCTTACTTTTTAAGTTTTTTCGGATAACGTTAATATTTTGCTTATAATAAGATTTTGTTCAGAGCTAAGTGCTTCGAGTTGAAATTATGATAAAACATGATGTTTGTTGATGAGTTTAGTTTTAAAAAATAATAAAATTATGCCTTTATTATCAAATATAATTTTTAGACATAATGATAAATACTTAAATTTAATAGTCATTTTATCCCATTTTTATTAACAAGTAATTTTATAGATTTTCAAACACCAAACACACAAATAACAACACATGTGCTCCTCTTCAATGATTTGTTAGTTGAATCTAGTCATCAAAAAATTCATTGGAATTCAATATTTTTCATATGTTAATAATCGATTAAATATTATATCTGTATTCATAATTTTTTTTACACAAATTGTAATAGGTGCATTT